CAATCTTTTTTTTAATAAGTATTGCACAGCCCTACTTCACATGCTTGAAACAAGCCTCGTTTCTTCTCTCTCTATTAATATTGGGGTGAAATGTGGCCAGAACCTGTTCTCGACGGGTTTTCTGAGATTCAGCAGTTGCACCACATGACACCAGTGTTTATCAAACATCAGATTACAGAGCAGATTCTCAGAAACACAACAACAACAAAAACACACACACACACACACACACACACACACACACACACACGGTTACTGAATTGCCCAGAAATAATCAACTCACACAATCAGACGTCTCTACACCTGATCAGAAAACTTCCCAACCACAGCCTACAGGTTCCTCAGAAGACGTCACAGTTTCTGACCACTAATGCATGCTGAAAACAGCTTGCAGCGCTGCACACGAACACACCACATCCTTAAAGAAGCATTTCACTTTACATTCAACCAGCTGAAACCGAAACACGGTCATTTTACAAAGAGCCAACACCGCAGGTATTAGGCTAGCAGGTAATCGCAAGGGTGAAAGTTCAAACGATTGATCCATTAACCCTTGAAGAAACATATTTGATCCACTGAGCATTTCAATGAGCACCCAATAAAGAGTTTGCATTGCAATATTTTCCATTGATTCCAATACAAATTTAAGACATAAAAGTTAAAGTCTTGCATTAATCCAGTCACACTCCAGATTTAAATACGTGCCCAATAAAGAGTTCATACTGCAATATTTGCAGACAAAATTAATATTAGGATATCATGATCTAAAATAAAAAATGAAATCACATTTTAGTAGACATTAATTACACTGTTTCCTTCCAAAATTTAGGAGTTTCTCTTTTCCATTTAACACTTTAGAACATGCAGTATTTTGAAGCTGAAAACCTGTAACCATCGACTAACCATTTGTTTTTCCTACTATGAAAGTCAATGGTTACAGGTTTCCAACATTCTTCAAAATATCTTCTTAAGTGTTAAACTGAAAAAATAAAAGTGTGAAACCACTTGAGACCAAGTAAGCAGTGAGTAAACGTTCCATAAGACTTTCATAGTTGTGAGTAAATGTACATTATTGGGTGAACTAAGTTAGTCTTATTTCCAAAGAGGATGGCAATGGCTACCAGATTTTAAACATTCTTCAAAATACAAACATGTAAGCTTTTCATTATTCTGTTGAACACTGAAGATGATATTTTGAAGAAAGCTGAAAACCTGTAACCATTGACTTCCATTGTGTTTGTTTTTCAAATGTGGAATTAAGTGGTTACTAGTTTCCAACATGCTTCAAAATATCTTCTTCAGTGTTAAACTGAAAAAAAAAGTATGAAACCACTTGAGACCGAGTAAACAGTGAATAAATGTTCATTTTAGGTCAATATATGATGCAGGGAAACCTGTAACCATTTAATTCCACAGCTGTAAATACAAACAAGTCAATAATACTAGTTTCCAACATTCTTCAAAATATCTACTTCAGTATTTAACAGAAGAAATAAAAGTTTAAAACCACTTGAGACCGAGTAAACAGTGTGTAAATGTTCATTTTGGGGTCAATACATCATGTATGGAAACCTGTAACCATTGACTTCTACAGTTTAGAATATAAATAAGTCCAATGTTACAGGTTTCCAACATTCTTCAAACTATCTTCTTCAAAGTTCAATGGAAGAAAAAAAGTTCGAAACCACTAGAGATCGAGTAAACAGTGAGTAAATGTTAATTTTTAGGTCAATACACCATGTATGGAAGCCTGTAACCATTGACCATAGTTGTAAAAAACAAATAAGTAAATAGTTATCAGTTTCCAACATTTTTCAAAATATCTTCTTCAGTGTTCAACAGATGAAATAGGTTTGAACCCACTTGAGACCGAGTAAACATTCATTTTTGTCTAGTTATTGTCAAGTTATTCTTACCTCCGAAGAGATGAGGCGACAGGTGAGCAGGTAGCGAGCCGATCACGAGTCTCGGCGCGCCGGTGGAGCGCTCTCTCTCTCCGCCGGGCTCCTCCGGTGTGCTGTTACCGGAATCCGCCGAACTGTACGCTCCAGAGTTCGGGATGTTGATCCCGGATTGGGGTCTCGCGCTCGGGCCGACGGAGCGCGTCCTGGAGGAGATAAACTGCGAGGCCACAGCCGCGGAGGAAGACGCTGAAGCGGCAGATGTAGCACCTGAGGCTCCTTGACTGTTGTTATACCGTAAAACCGCCGCTGTTCTGCCGTTAACGGACGCGGTGGCCGACGGTAGATCCGAGCCCGAGTACGCGCGCGTGCGGCCGTTGGCAGCAGGACTGCTCTGTTTGGCGCCCATGCCAGCCTTCAGGTCCCTGCGATCTGAATTATTCAAGAAAAACAAACACACACGCACACATTTACACACGCATACACACACACACTCACTGACAGCTGACGGGAAGCGGCGTCTGTTACGTTACATTTGGCTGATCTACGTCACGCGCGTGCGCCAGTCAAACTTTTGCGAAGGATTTTTTTAAAGGGACAGTTCACACAAACATTAAGATTCTGTCATCAGTTACTCACTGTTGACTTGTTTAAAGCCCTTTATGAGTACCTTACTTTTGTTGAACACAAAGAAGATATTTAGAATAATGTGATCAATGTTTATAAAAACCAAAAACTATTCAAGGTGTTATGATTTGAAACATTCTTCAAAGTATCTTCTTTTGTGTTCAATCGAGAAACTCAGATATTTATAATTATTTGAGGCAGCGCAAATGATGAATAAATGTTAATTTCTGGATAACTATATCATGCCAACCTCCAATAAGAGGTCAGTTCAACAGTTCCCAGCTCAGTTTGACAGGTGTGTAGAGTTTAATTTAAAGGGATTGTTCACTCAAAACTAAACATTCGACATCATTTACTCACCCTTGGCCTGTTCCAAACTTTTGTGTCTTTTTTTTATTCTCTTGAAGACTAAAGAAGATATTTTAAAGCTTAAAGCCTGTAACCATCAACTAACCATTTGTTTTTCCTTCTATGAAAGTCAATGGTTACAGGTTTCCAGCATTCTTCAAAATATCTTCTTCGGTGTTTAACAGAAAAAATAAAAGTTAAAAACTACTTGAGACCGAGTAAACAGTGTGTAAATGTTCATTTTGGGGTCAATACATCATGTATGGAAACCTGTAACCATTGACTTCTACAGTTTAGAATATAAATAAGTCCAATGTAACAAGTTTCCAACATTCTTCAAACTATCTTCTTCAAAGTTCAATGGAAGAAATAAAAGTTTGGAACCACTAGAGATCGAGTAAACAGTGAGTAAATGTTCATTTTGGGTCAATATATCATGTATGGAAACCTGTAACCATTGACTTCCATAGTTGAGAAAACATAAGTCAACAGTTTCTAACATTCTTCAAAATATCTTCTTACGTGTCCAACAGAAGAAATAGAAGTTTGAAACTACTTTAAGACCAAGTAAACAGTGAATAAATAATCATCAATATATCATGCATGGAAACCTGTAACCATTGACTTCTATAGTTTAGAATATAAATAAGTCCAATGTTACAAGTTTCCAACATTCTTCAAACTATCTTCTTCAAAGTTCAATGAAAGAAATAAAAGTTTGAAACCACTTGAGATCGAGTAAACAGTGAATAAATGTTCATTTTGGGTCAATACAGCATGTATGGAAACCTGTAACCATTGACCATAGTTGTAAAAAACAAATAAGTAAACAGTTACCAGTTTACAACATTCTTCAAAATATCTTCCTCAGTGTTCGACAGAAGAAAAAAGTATGAAACCACTTCAGACCGAGTAAACAGTGAATAAATGTTCATTTTGGGTCAATATATGATGCAGGGAAACCTGTAACCATTTAATTCCACAGCTGTAAATAGAAATAAGTCAACAATTACTAGTTTCCAACATTCTTCAAAATATCTACTTCAGTATTTAACAGAAGAAATAAATCTTTAACATCATTTTGAACAGAGTAAACAGTGAGTAAATGTTAAGTTTAATTTACGTATTTAATTTATGTGTATAGTTAGTTTTATCTCCGAAAAAGATGGCAATGGAAGTCCAACATTCTTCAAAATATCTTATTTTGTGTTTAACAGAAGAAAACAACACCTATAGAGATCTGGAATCACTTGAGGCTGAGCAAATGATGAATAAATAAAAATTTTGGGTAAATACATTATGTCAACAACCAATAAGAGGTCAGTTCAACAGTTCCCAGGTCAGTTAACAGGTGGGCAGAGTTTAATTTAAAGAGGTAGTTCACTCAAAATTGAACATTCTGTCTTTATTTACTCCCCCTTTACTTGCTCCAAACCTTTATGAGTTTCCTTCTTCTGTTGAACACTAAAGAAGATATTTTGAAGAATGCTGAAAACCTGTAACTATTGACTTCCACATATTTGTTTTTCCTACTGTGGAAGTCGATGGTTACAGGTTTCCAGCATTCTTCAAAATATATGCAGTGTTCGACAGAAGAAATAAAAGTTTGACATCATTTGAGACAGTAAACAGTGAGTGAATGTTAGGTTTAATTTAGTTATTTAATTTAATTATTTAAGAGGATGGCAATAGCTACCAGAGTTCAAACATTCTCCAAAACATCTTCTTTTGCCTTTAACAGAAACAAAAAAACTTATAGAGATCTGGAATTACTTGAGGCTAAGTAATGATTAATAAATGTTCATTTCTGAATATATCATACCAACCTCCAATAAGAGGTCAGTTCAACAGTTCCCAGGTCAGTTCAACAGGTGGGCAGAGTTTAATTTAATGAGATAGCTCGCTCAAAACCAAACATTCTGTCTTCATTTACTCCCCTTTTACTTGCTCCAAACCTTTATGAGTATCTTTCTTCTGTTGAACACAAGAGTAGATATTTTGAAGAATGTTGGAAATCTTTAACCATTGACTTCCACATATTTGTTTCTTCCTACTGTGGAAGTCGATGGTTACAGGTTTCCAGCATTCTTCAAAATATCTTCTACAGTGTTCTACAGAAGACATTAATGTTTGACGTCATTTGAGACAGAGTAAACAGTGAGTGAATGTTAAGTGTAATTTAGGTATGTAATTTCTAGTTAGTTTTACCTCAGAAGAAAATCGCAATGGAGTTCCAACATTCTTCAAAATATCTTCTTTTGTGTTTAACAGAAACAAAAACACTTATATAGATCTGGAATTACTTGAGGCTGAGTAATCATGAATAAATGTTTATTTCTGGGTGAACATATCATGTCAACAACAACAAGAGGTGTTTAACAGTTCCCAGGTCAGTTAACAGGGGCAGAGTTTAATTTAAAGGGATAGCTCACTCAAAACTGAACATTCTGATTTCATTTACCCCCCCTTTACTTGTTCCAAACCTTTGAGTTTCTTTCTTCTGTTGAACACTAGAGATGACATTTTGATAAATAGTTTGTGACTTCCAGGAAAAAACTAGTTATGTTGAAGTCAATGGGTACAGATTTTAAACATTCTTCAAAGTATCTTCTTTTGTGTTCAATATAGAGAAACTCAAAGATTTTGAATTATTTGAGACTGTTTGAAAAGAAAATATTAACAAATGTTCATTTCTGACTGAATATATACTGCCAACTTCCAAAAAGAGGTGTTTAGCTGCTCCCAGGTCAGTCAACAGAACAGGTGGGTGGAGTTTAATTTAAAGGGACAGTTCACAGAAACATTTAAATTCTGTCAGCACTGTTTACTTGATTAAAAACCTCTGAGTTTCTTCTGTTAAACACAAATGCAGATATGTTGATGAGTACTCTGTGATCAGTTACCTCCATATAGGTCAAACGTTAGCAGACTTTAAACACGTTTCCAAAGATCTTGTTTTGTTTAACAGAAAAATGTTTAAATCATGAATAAAAGTGAATTTCTTAGTGAACATATAATGTCAAAAACCAATAAGAGGTGTTAAACTGTACCCACATGTTCTGTTGAACTGATCTGGGAACAGTTTAAGTGTTAGTTCAACTTAAAATTGAAATTCTGTCACTCATTTACTCCCATAAATAGCTTGTGATCTCCAGGAAAAAATACTAGTTCTACTGAAGTCAATGGGTACAGATTTAAACCATTTCAAAGTATCTTCTTTTGTGTTTAACAGGAAAGATTTTGAATTATTTGAGGCTGAGGAAATGATCAATCACTGTTCATTTCTGGGTAAATATATCATGCCAACAACCAATAACAGGTCAGTTCAACAATTCGCAGGTAATAGAGTTTAATTTAAAGGGATAGTTCACTCACAAATTCTTCATTTACTCACTCTTTACTTGTTCCAAACGTTTATGAGGTTCTTTCTTCTGTTAAACACTAAAGAAGATATTTAAAAGCTTAAAACCTGTAACCATCGAATAACCCTTTGATTTTCCTTCTATGAAAGTCAATGGTTACAGGTTTTCAGCATTCTTCAAAATATCTTCTTGTGTTTAACAGAATAAAAAGTTTGACACCAATTAAGTCAGTAAACAGTGAGTAAATGTTAAGTTCAGTGTAGGTATTTCATTTAATTTCTAATTAGTTTTACCTCAGAAGTGGATGGCAACAGCTACCAGAGTTTAAACATTCTTCAAAACATCTTCTTTTGTGTTCAACAGAAAAAAAACACTTATTAAGATCTGGAGTTACTTGAGGCTGAGCAATGATGAATCAATGTTGGTTTCGGAGTGAACATATCATGTCAACAACAACCAATAGGATGTTTTTAACAGTTCCCAGGTCAGTAACAGGTGGGTAGAGTTTAATTTGAGAGGATAGCTCACTCAAAACTGATCACTCTCTCTTCATTTACTCACTCTTTACTTGCTCCAAACCTTTATGTGTTTCTTTTATCTGTTAAACACAAGATAAGATATTTTGAAGAATGTTGGAAACCTGTAAACATTGACTTCCACATATTTGCTTTTCCTACTGTGAAAGTCAATGGTTACAGGTTTTCAGCATTCTTCAAAATGTCTTCTTCTGTGTTTAACAGAAAGAAAAAAACTCGTAAAGGTTTTAAACCACTTGAGCGAGAGTAAATGGTGAGTACATTTTCATTTTAACAGTAATATCTTTGAGCATATGCATTAGATGAGTCAGTGCTGAAGCCAAATCTGGAGCTCATCTAACAAAACAACTTACAATAAAGGTCAAAATACTACTACACCCAGTAATACTGGGAAAAATATCAGATTAAAATATAAAAATGAGGGAATAAATTAATTGAAACAAATCTAAAGTTGTTTAAGTTTTGTAGATTGCCATTTGTTTTGCATTTAGCTTGAATTGAAATGTATTACACTGTAAACGATTTCTTGTTAAATCAACAGTAAGTTACTGGCAACAATTATCCAGTAGCTGCTGTATTTCATAAAACAGTAACATTACTGTAATACTAATTACATTAGTATTACA